TAATAAAGAATATATTACTTACTCCAATTGATTCTTATGAAAAGATAGGAGTATTTAGAGTATTTGTATAAAGCTAATAGACTATTATATCTAATAAAGAATACATTAGATTTATGCAAATGGATTTTGTAATGACTTTGTAATACTTCAAAAAAGTGAGGATTTAATTTTGAAATAATTGTTTTTGAGAAAAAATTTGAGGTCTACATGTTTAGCAATATTGTAAACTTTATAATATATCCATAGTTAAATTTTATAGATTTTTGTGTATACTTGTGCTAAGTATGTGTGTTAAAATTTAGCTTGGTTAGTCAATTGAATTTATAGCAATTAATATTTAAATGTGTTGGAGTAAAAATAGTTGGTAGTATGAAGGTCAATAAGAATATCAGCATTTTTGGTTAAATTGATATAAAACCTTGTAAGTTAATAGTTGACATAAAGATTAAAGTCCACAAATTTTTTGAAAGCAATAACAAGATCTCTTGCTTCCACCAAAGTAAAGAGGTTGCGTGACACCAAATCTTTTTTTTTGGATTACAAAAATACCCAATTTTGAAAAAATTTAAATAAGATTTAGGATTTTGAGTTTGAAATTCTATTACATATATAATTTCTACAAATATGGAAAAATGCTAGATTTTTTTTAAAAAAAATCAAATCAATATTTTAATACAATTAAAATATTAAATTTATATAAAAATAGTTGATTATATTATAGTAGAATTGAAAATAAAATGATAATTTAGAAAATATCATAAAAAAATCTGAAGAAATATCCATAATCTTTTAATGCAATGAAAATTTATAAATTATAAGAATAAATTTATAAAAGAGATTAAGAGAAGTAGAAGCAAAAATCTAAAAGTTAATGTTAATTTTTTTATATGTATTTATTTTTATAGAGATTATATTTTTTTATAAATTTAATTATATAATTATATATTTATTATAATTTTAGCATCTAAAAAACTATTATTTGAGAATCTAATTTTAAATACTATCTAGTTTTTTTAAAAAATACATGATAATATTAGTGTAATTATTTTAATTTTAAATTTGAAAAAGTGGTTTTAAAAATACTTAATCATATGATAAATATTTTGTTAAAATATGCAAAGAAAATATTAAGCATAAATAAAAAATTATTATTAAATTTCTAATTCATAAAAATATACAGAATTTTTATTCTAAGCTCTATATTTATTTTAAAAAATAAAAGAAGTGAAAAACTTAGAATTTAAAACATAATAAGTAAAACATGTATTACATTATCAAATGAAGTAATTGTAATAATCAATAGCTTTTAAATCAATGTACAAATTTTTTCAATCTTATTTAATATAAATATAAATATATATATGAATACATATATATATATACAGTGACAAACAAAACCGAGTACAAAATCTGAAGTGCCAACTTTCAAGAGCAATTACAGAAATTTCAATGATTGCTTTATAAATCTGAAAGTTACATGGAATAATACACACAGTCTTGTACACATGTACAAAGTTACACATCAAATTGATAACTAAACATTCTTCTACAAAGTCAAATCAACAACTATGTCTTGTACTCAGTATTGTTCAAAGAAAATCTTCAAACTTCAATATTTAGTCCAATAACCTTTTACTTCCAAAACAGCTGAAATCCTTCTTGGCATACTTTTGTATAGTTTCTCACAATCTTTTGCATCAAAACTAGGGTAAATACTACAAACATTCTCCCACAATTCTTGAACACCTCTTGGCCTTGGAGTGACTTGGCTTAAACGCTGTTTGAGAAGGGCCCAAAAATGTTCCATTGGATTCAAATCTGGAAAATGAGTTGGCCATCAAAGGAGCTGAAATGGCTATGAAGAGAGCCAAAACTGAACACTTTTTGCCATATGTTTGGGATCATTATCATATTGAAAAACCACCTTAGTAGGATCTAAGTTGTAATTCTGTGTGGTACTTTGCAAGTAGGTTTCTAAAATTTTTTTGTACAAGTGTTGCTCCATTCTACCTTCAATTTGATACCAAGCACCCGGCCCAAAAGCAGTCATACAACCCCAAATCATAATTGAACCACCACCATGTTTGACAGTTTGACTAACATGTTTAGGTCCACGTCGTTCTCCTTCTCTCAACCAACACCAAGACCTACCATTTGAATTGATTAGGTTAATCTTTGTCTCATCACTGAAAATAACCCATCTCCAATCATCAACGGTCCAATTTTTGTATTTATGAGCAAAACTCAACCTTGCAAGAACATGTCTTTTGGCAAGTAGAGGCTTCTTTTGTTGCACACAAGCACCCAAACCAGCTTCTCTCAAACCACGCCTCAAGGTGATGTCTGAGAAGTGTTTACCTGTTTTTTCTCGAAGTTGTTTTGCAGCTGCACTTGTCGTTTTGAGACAACCAACAGTGACAAGGTGCACATCAAGTCGCTTCTCTTGCTCTCCTAAAACCTTTGGACATCCTCTTCTTTGCTTTTCTATTTCACCACTAATCTCCCTCCTTAGATGAGCTACTCAAGACTGACTCATTCTAAGTGAGTCTGCAACTTTTCTTGTAGAAACACCACTCCTAAGCTGCATCAATGCTTGGTGCTTCAATGATTCACACAACCGAGGCATAGAGATACAATTGACAAATCAACTTTCACTATAGATAGTACACAACAAGAGCAACACAACAAACAAAAAATGCCCTCAAATCTTGCAACAAGGAGTGTACATTGAAATTTCGAAATTCAGCAAGAAGAAGCAACCAAAACTGAGTACGCACGTCTGTGTGCTTCTACAACACTTTTCTCATAAACCCTACCTCAAATGATAATGAGATTTTTCATCCATGTAGAAGATTGGATGAATACACACAATAAAAAAGTAATTCTATCAATTGACTTATGTGTCAGTTGGAAGGATCAATGAACTATGAGTGTTCAGATTTTGTACTCAGTTTTGTTTGTCACTATAAATATAAATATATATATAAATATAAATATAAATATATATATAAATATAAATATAAATATATATATAAATATAAATATAAATATATATATAAATATAAATATAAATATATATATAAATATAAATATATATATATATAAATATAAATATATATATATATAAATATAAATATATATATATATAAATATAAATATAAATATATATAAATATAAATATATATAAATATAAATATATATATATATATATAAATATAAATATAAATATATAAATATAAATATATATATATATATATAGCATTAATAGATTTAAAGATATGGATAAGCATAAAAAATCATAAAATAAACAAATAAATAAATAAACAACTAATAACTATTAGATACTTCTTTCAATCTTTGTTTCGAAGCTAAAATTATAATTAAGTTTTGTATAGATTGTGTGATAAAGAAAATAGAATATTAATACATCATAAGATTTGATATAGTTAGATGATCTATTATTGTTAATAGCATTCTATAATAATCCTTTTTATTTTTAGCTTATCCATATATATAAGTTTTTAAATATCTAATAAGAAAGTTTATGATAAGATCCAAAACATCTTTATAAAAAGATCCCAACAAGAATTAAGAGAATATGTTATAAAATAAATAATAAGAAAACCTTAAGAATTATTAATTGAAAAGAAATACTGTCAAAATTTATTATAATACTAAAACTTAAACAATTTGTATTTCAAATTTTATTAATTATAATTAAATCTTATATCTAATTAAATTAAAAGTAGATTTTTAATAAAAATAACATTAAAAATATAAAATTTAAGAATTTACAACCACACCATATCAAGGATATAGATTATATACTTTGAATGATTGAATTTAACTAAAGGAATTTAAATAGAAAATCAAGATCTATACTTAGAATCTTGGTTTCTGTTTATTAAGTTATTTAATCAACAATTATTATCTTGAAAATCTTTAAACTTAAGTAATAAATATGCTTTATAACTAAAATATTTAACAAAAAACTAATGTGAGTTTTTTTGTTTGGATTTTCAAATGTTTAGGATTTAAAATAAAAGTTGCCAATATATCATTACAATACGTGTCTTTAAAATTGTATGATAGTCTTAGTTTTATAAGTAATTTTAAAAAGAATACATGTATATATATGTATGTATATATATATATATATATACATATATATATATATATATACACACACATAGAAGTCCAGAGCAAAACTTATGATGTATGCTACCAAATCTAATTTTAAAATATGAGAGGTACATAAGAACTTAGCAACTCAGTAACAAATTAATAAAAAAAAAAGAAGCTGAATTCTAATAAAGTCTCAAGTAGAATGGAAGTGTCGATTTGAGCTAAAAATAAAATAAAATAAACTTATTTATCTAATTTTTCTTTAGAGACTATCAGATAACATATTGAATTAATAAAGTAACAATAATATTTAGTTTTATTTTTGGCTAATTATTTTTTTCTCAAATAAATTAAAATAATAATAATAATAATAATAATAACAATAATTTAATGAAACAGAAATTTATTCCAGCATAGAATAACAACTCAGAAAATATGAAATAGCAACCATATTAGTGGCCCAATATTACCATACATCTCTCTCCCTGTATGTATATATATATATATATATATATATAGGTGTGTGTGTGTGTATATTATTAAAATTGGATAATTTGTTCAGACAAGAACGACACAAACAAACGAACATATACGAGAGAGAATGGATAAACTCTGTTGGTTTGGATGGAGAAATTCCCCCAACATCGAAGAGAACGAAAAAGAAAAAGGAAATAAAGAAGGAAGTAAGTATGTCCGGGTGCTTCGGGAGCTTCGTCTCGTGTGAGGGAGAATGGGGAACGTAGAATTGGGGTGGAGGGGGGGGCAGGGGGGGCTTGCCCTGCCGTGGCTTGCCATGACGTGCCTTGACTTGCCGTGCCTTGCCGCGACTTGCCTGCCGTCTATGCAAAGCAGGACCCTGCTCTTTTGCAGTGGCAGCTACCATTTGCAGAGGCGCTGGGCTCTCTGGGCTTGCTCTTCCTCCTCCAAGTCTCCCCCCCCCTTTCTCTCTCTCCCTCACTATCTCTCTCTCGCACTCCCCTCACTATCTCTCTCTCGCACTCCCCTCACTATCTCTGTCTCGCACTCCCGTTGCCACCCTCGCTGCGACGCCCATTTCAGCCCTGTGACCGGAATGTGGGTCAACGGAGCGCTTGCTACACTCGATTGGAAGGCACCACTTCGAAATGCAGCAGGAGGAGGATGAATCTTTAGGTTATGGAGTGTGTGAGGGTTTTTGTTATCGTGGGATCGTGGTGGGATTTCAATCGGGGTTCGTCCGGGTGCGTGTGAGCAAGTGTGATTTCGGTGCTGTAGGGTCGAATTCGACACTTTGTGTTGGCGGAGTATGGGCATCTACGTACGCATTGCTTGCTTTCACGAAAGCATGTATATTTTTGCTATCGTTTTTATTACTGGAGGCTGAACTCTATGTGCATAGATTTGATGATGCAATTAGAGCTGTTGCGGATTTTCAGGAATTACACTCGCAGTGTTCCTTCAGGTAAATGTGATTTAATTCTCCAATTTATAACCAATAGCTCACCGCTTCACAGAATGTGATCACATGTCTGTATATGTGCCCTAAACTTACAATTTTTTCGATTTTCTATTTCGTCTCGGAGTTCGGAACGTCACTGTAGCAGGTAGAAATTAGAAAAATTACACAACGTTAATGTGTTTGAAACCCTTGAGCTCTTCCTTTCTGAAGCAAAGTAGCATTTTCTTCACAGGTGATTGCACGCTATCTCAAGTGTAACAAGGGTAGGCGGGTCATTGATTTTCTCTAGTTAAGAAGGTGATGTCCTTCGATAATTCGACTCTTCATCTAAATGATGCGTATAAATCTAAAATCGTCTTATTGGGAAAATAATTGGAACTCGCCGCGAAGTCAATTTCCTGATGGCTGAGGTCTTTCGTAGAGGTAAGTTCTGCCAATAAGGCTATTGCTGTGGAATATCATACTGTTTTGTGGAAAGTTTCAACTGCATAACTTAGTTGCAGTCCAAGAGTGTTCGTGGTTGACTTTCTCGTCATCTTACTATCACAAAATTAATTAACTGGAGCTCTATTAATTTTGTAATGAGTTTACTATCCTGTTTGTACTATTGATTTCTGTAGTTTTGCATTTTGATCATTTCTTGTCCCCAGATCTCTCCACCATGGATACACAACAGGCAGTCGATGCTCTTACAGATCACATGGCCATCTATCATCGATCTGCTGAACGACTGAAAGCAGGAAGGTCCACTGGTGGTGACCTTAAAAATAATCCCAAGCCAGGGGCCAAAGGTGGCAACGTTGTCAAGCAGAGAGTAATAGAATGGCTCTCTGAACTGAGTACTTCCCAACGGCAAGCTGTCCTCACCGTCTTTGATAGATCATGGGTCTTACTCTTGTTGCAAATGCAACAGAAGTTGAATGAGAATGGACCTGGAAACTTCATCATTCTTCCGGATATCCCAGCTTCAAGTTTGTCAGTACGATCGAACACGGAAGTATTATCTCACTCTTCAAAGCACCAAAGAGGAAAAAATAAGAAAGGGAGGGCTAGCTCCAACACCAGACGTGGTCGAACATCCAAGGTCTCAAGAACGAATAATGATGACCACCTTGAGGGCAATCGGAAGTTTGAAGGTCACACAGGTTCTACAGGAGTAGCAAAATTTGCTGCTGAAAAAGTATTTCCTTTAGATAGTGTAACCTTGCCAGGTCTTTGCTATCGAAAAGCTAATGGTCTTTTAGCCAGATTGAAAAGTCAGCAGTTAGCTGAGGAGAAGCTTCGTAAAGCTGTGCAAATTTTTAGTTCCCAAGACGGGCACAAATCTCTCATCAGCTGTGGATCTGAACCTGTTTTTGATGCACTATCGCTATCAAGTGAATTGGCTGAGAATTTGGATGTATTTCTGGAAGTCATGGGGGAAATATCCTATGGAGAATTTCTTGAACATCCCTTGGGGCTGACGGCATCCCCATGGGAAGAGACACCGTGGTTACAGGTACCTTTCAACTTGTTCTTCATTGTACTGTGGCGAATTTGGACGAAACGCATCTAATATATGACAACATATATCCAGGAAGGTCTCATACCATCCATTCTGCGAAATGATCCAGATTAACATCCAACAAAAGTTTAGCAAAACACTAGTCCAATTGAAGCAGAGCCTAGAACATAAGAGGCCCGAACAATTGAAACTTGGTTAACAATATCGCATAACATCTAATATATTATGAGTTAAATTGAGTAAAAATAATGAAATTTTAGGGATTCAGATGCAGGTCCTGTACATGCTACTTGCATCTTCTACTCTCCTGCATGATATTGCACTGCGACTGTACAAGTCTTAGTATCCTGTGCTCACATGAGGGAATGTTGTCAGGTCCAGGGTTACTACAGTGTTGCGGCCTTTATAGCAAACAAGTTGGAGATATGTATCTGGTCATCTTATTCTTTGTCCATGGGCAGTAAGCGATCCTTCAAAAATCAGTGGATCATCAAGACGAGCGAATCATTAAGGTCAAAATGGACTTCTGGAAGATCTGTTGATGTTCTTGAATCAGCAGCTGCTGCTCAGAGTTTACATGAGAGGAAACGAGGCTGCATTGACTGGTGGAACAGGGTGGACTGTGATTTGAAAGAGAAAACTGTTCGTTCCGCCCTAATAGCTGCAACTAAATTTGAAGTGAGTTCATGTTGCCAGAAAGGTTTTATGTTACGTTGTATACGTAAAATTTGACGGATTTGTTAGAAGCCGACTTTACTGCTGTCGGTATAGCACATATTGCTGAAATCTCTCACATGTGGGACACATATTTACATCCATATCACTGTACTTCTGCCTAGAAGAGAATGAACTGGTAGAAACAATCCTCAAAAAATACCTATCTTCCTAATTTATCCTTTCAATACGCTGTGCAGGTCATTAGTGCCGTTTCATCGGCAAGAAGTGCAATCCGGAGTATCAAACCGGCACATAGATCTCACGAACTGTTGGAGGCTACGAAATACAGAGGAAAGAATACACGTTGGACCAGTCTCTCGGATACTGAAGTGGAACATCATAAATTGGATTTAAAAAACAGTTGGAGCACTTCAACACTGTCTCCTTTGCTGTTGGGCTTGGCAGCACTAAAGGAGGCTGCGGAATCGGGCATATTATCAGGTGAATCACTCACGATAGCACCACGCAGTAATAATTTGTTCTTTAGCAATTTGGAATCTGTACACACCCTTCCTGATCGAATTGTGAGGAGGTCGAGAAATGTATTAGCACGAGTGATGAACGAAGCTGTGGAGTACGAGCTTCTTCAAGGAGAAGTAGGAACCAATTCACTGGGTGCTGGAACTGCCATAATTGGGGAGTCTAAAGGGGTCAAAGATAAAAAGAAGAGACGAAAAAGAAGTTCAGTGCAGAAGACTGGGCCAGAGAGAAAGGATTTGGCTGATTTGGATTGTAAGACTTCTGAGGTATTTAATTTCCTTCAATGTTTACTCCCTTGCTTATGATCACCTTAATCTTTTAGTTTGAGTAGAGGCGTGAAATCAATGGCATCGAAGAATATTTCCTTGGTTTGCTCAGTTGGAGTATTTTTGACTGGTTGATTTGCGTGTGACGATTATGCATAGTGAAGAACCGCAAAACATGTTGAACTGAGCTGGGCTGTAGAACTTGATCCCAATACTGGTTGTTTTGGGAGATTTTTTATCCTAGTTCGTCGACTAGTGCTGCTGACACCTTGAAGTTTTGAAGTTGCCTTAACGCGTAAAGCAATTAATGATGTCTGATCCAAGGTCGTTTAATCTATTGACCCTGTTCGATAATTTTGAGATATTTGAATAGCAGTACTGATAGTGGCTTTTCTTTTGAATATGGATAGGATTGTTCATCAGCTGCAAGGAATGAGGACAAAAAAGGTGCAGACCCACAATTTCTAAGCGCCAAAATTCCAAATGGTGCTGTAGGTTGCTCCGACTTTTGTGTGGGTACTATTCAGAACTCGAACCCTCAAACTCGGAAACCAATGAATCAGAAGCATGGGAAAGTTGCTCACACAGGCCCTGGTGTGAGTACTTCTGATCTGCATGAGCATAAGGGGCAGTTTGAGAGGTTTGGGACGAACATTAGCAGAGATGATGAAACTTGTGGCTCAGAACCTGTTGCCAGCCCTTGCTACACTTTTGTTGTGGATATTAAAAGTACTACTACACCTGTCTGCGATGCTGGTCAGGCACCCTTCATGGCCCACGGTAACCTTTGCAATAGTAAATTAGAACTTTGCGCGGGCTGTGGAGATCGGGCTGTTCTTGATGCTGCGAATCAGCGTCACGGAGAAGTGGCGAATATGGTTTCGAACACTTCTGACTTGATTAATGCTGCACAGGGACTGGAAATTCATGATAGGAATGGTTATTTGAGACAGTCCGACGAAGTGAACACTCGCGTATTGTTCCCGGTTGGGGAAGAGCCTAGTGTCGGTCAAGCTGGATCTGAGGTTCTTGAAGCTTTGAATGTAGAACAGGATCTTCAGAAGCAGTTTGACATGCCAGAATCTATATATGATCATGACTTTAATTTACAAAGAAGAGAATCCAGATCATTACAACTGCGCTTTGGAACGATAGAAGTAGTGACCTCTGATGTTCAGGTTCCAGTAAAGTCTTCTATATCATCTAAAGCCTTAGGTCAGCATTCAATTATTCCAGAAACCCCAGGAAATGGTCGCAAATGTAGAGGATTAGATGAATTAAGGATTGCAGAGGAGAGCTGGGACACCGCACATAACGTCGAAGCAACACCTGAACCAGTGTATGATTCTAATTTAAGACGGTCTGGACACAGGTCACAAAGCTTGCCCTCAGGGATCTCAGCATCAGGTATGCATCATGCTTTTTTCCCTTGTTAGTAACTTTCAGGCCCTAATTTCATCTTCCGCTTTTATACTAGTTTCAGAAAGATGTCTTTTATGCAATTATGTACTGTACATCTGACGTGTTGTTTCATTATCTTCTTAATGGAGAAGGATGATCTTATTTTATTATATCTTCTTACTTATTGTAAGCTCTTGTAATGCGCAGGAAAGCTGTTCGCATCACAGCCTGCACCAACGTTTTTCCCGGAGGAACCTGTTCTGGTTCGTAAGGGTGGGTCACTGCGATCTCAACATAATACTCCTGCTTTTGCTATGTTTTATTCTCATGAATGGCCTGGTTACTCACAAGTACGGGTCCCAGGCAGCACTGTGCGTCCGACAGCCACAGAAAGACTCCACCTGGATGTTGTTCATGACTGGCCTAAATGTCTTGGTGCCTCTTCAGTTTCCATCTCCAACACTGTCCCTGCTCCAGGAAATCTTGATTGGTCTCCATTGGTGCACAATGGGTACAGCCTTACCCCAATGGTTGGGTACGCTGATTCAAATGAACCTAAGGTTGTCACGCTCTCTCCATTTTCATCCTCTCCATATGCATCAAGGACCCCACCCAATGGGCATACAAGATTAGGGGAAGATTCCGAGGTTGAAGAGCGCCTGTATGATACGGACCTTGAAATCTTTGATGCAGGCGATTTTGGAGACCTTGATGGGTATTTAGTTTCTGAAGAAGAAGGAGAACGACAAATAGAGGACAATGCGCATGTGAAAGCAGAAGACTACAATCAGGTCTTTGGTGGTGGGGTTATGTACTGGAACTCAGCTGATTATACCGGAATGGGTTATTCTCGACCTGGTTCTATGAGTTCCGATGATAGTTCATGGGCTCGTAGGGAGGCAGATCTTGGTGCTGTACTTGATGATATAGTCGGTATTCCATACGGAGTTCCATACGGAAGCAAAGGGTCAACAAGTTCCAATCTTTCCAGTACTTCTCCTTCGCAACCATCTACTTCCCTTCCAGTACCTTTTGACCAGATAGGAGGTAGCCAAGTTGGCCCGCGTGTTTGTTTGACCAGACCTACAGGAAGTGACTTTTCAGTGAGCTATAGGGCTTTTTCTGATGATTCGCAAACAGCGGGGACAAATGTGGGCAACTCAGCTGGAGTAGTTGATGGCATAATGAGTGATGGATTTATGCCAAGGTTACGTCCTATAGTGGTGATGAGAGATCCTGGCCTATCCAGGTCCATGGGGAAGAATGAAGCAGTTCGTCTACGAGAATTACGCAGTCCTCATATCGTGTCAAGAGGGGCACCGGATTTTCCTGGAGATCGACGTCGGCGACCTTCCCCCCCTGTAACTCGCCATGCTCCACCTCCGCCTCCTCCTTCGCCGGTGGCTGGCCTCAAGCGTAGGAAGGGATGGATGTCTGCCAGGTCAGGGAGCTCAAGTCCCCGCCATTGGGGCCTTACAAGTTGGTGGAATAAGGATGATGTGGACAATTTTGAGGTTCAAGCAGCAGGTAGAGATAATGCTCTTGAAAATGGAAGAAGAATGGCGATTTTGGCAAGCACCCCGCCTATACGTCCCATGTCAAGAGTTTTGCCACTAGAACATTCGGTAGCCATTCACTCATCAGCCTTGGACCAAGAGCACATGGTATAAATCTTTCACTTTCTTCTACATGTTTCATGTTATGTCACAAGTCTGCCTATGTGATTATCCTTGATAATATATTCTCGTCATTTCTTGTTTAAAAGAAGAACCTACAAGGACCGGGCTCATGCTTAACTGCTGCCGTTTAGTTTCTTTATGACAAATCTACTACTTGCAAACCATAGATTCCTTTGTCAGTGCACATTTTTTATTTGGAGCTAATCATCATATGTCATGTTTCTAATGGTTGCGCAGGCTGATGAGGCTTTGGTAATGCAAAGCACTGTCTTGTTTAACAAGAATCCTTCTCTCCAGCTTGTTATTACGCTTTTTCACAAATCTCTTCACAAGGAGATTGAAACATTCTGCTTGCAGGTATGGTAACCATTATAGAATTGATTGGTTTCTTTTTGAGCTTGTTGCCGTTCTAGATAATAGGGGGCCTATCATGCTAGCTTTGACTTTAAATCTAGTTAAGAGTATTTTATAGCGGCTCTTTAAACTCGTTATCTAAGGGTTACCCTTTGGCGTTCCGAAAAGCGGAGAGCTTGTGTATACTTAATTCTGCATTGTCCATACTGATAATCTGGTCTGCAATGTCTATCATGTTGTAATCATAATCTAATAGAGCTTTGTTGTCAACTGAAGGTTGCTGCAGAGAAAAGACTACGGATGCCTTTTATCAATACGGCGGTTAAGAAGGTAACACACTCTTTGCAAGTCTTATGGCCAAGATCGCGGGCAAAGATTTTTGGTTCAAATGCTACCGGCTTAGCGCTTCCAACTAGCGACGTTGATATTGTTGTTAGCTTGCCTCCAGTGAGAAAGGTACGTTTGGCAAGTACAATTTTAAACATTGAAAAATTCAATTTAATGCTTGTGTTGATATGAATGTGCACTTCAATCTGCTCTGCAGGTTTTTTAATTCTTGAGGAGGATCAGATGGTGATAATTCAAATGATGTTGATATAGTCCTGTCTTATTTATTTGATTATGAGCATTACAGGCGCGGAATCCAATTAAACAAGCTGGAATATTGGAAGGGCGCATTGATGGGGTTAAGGAGACTTGCTTGCTGGTTAGGGTGCCTTTAGCATCGTCCCTTATGTAGCTCTTAACTTTGATGGAGTTCATCCTTATCTTATCAGAGTTTTTGATAAAATTGAGTGTTTATTTCTAATGTTAGTGAAAAAAATGTCATTGCTTATGTTGGTAGTTGTTGAACTGTAGCATGCAGCACGTAACCTCGAAGATCAGGATTGGGTGAAGTCCCTGCAAGTCTTTGAGCGCACGATGGTACTTAACAATTGCAACTTGTTTCAGCATACGCTTGTTGACTCATTTGCTAGATTCTTGTTTTGCTGCTTGTATTATTGCATCTATACTGCAGACTGCGGAACCTTCATGTCGAATTTCATTGCAGGTTTGGTTGTTTGTGTCCTCATATTGGTTGGAAAATCTGGCAGGTGCCAATCATAAGATTGGAGGCTCACATCTTACCCCATCAGTGTGAACTGGGTGACATTTCTTTGAGCGTTAAAGAGACATGCCCTATGGGCTCGAGCAATGATGCACAAGATGGATCACCAACTAGTCAAGACTCAGGTGATTCCGGCGAGAAGGAGGGTCCATGGGGATCTAATAAAGATCGTCAGATAGTCCGCCTCGATATCAGCTTTGAATCTCTAGCCAATACAGGTCTTCGCACGTCCGAATTGGTGAGTGCGCTTTATACAGCTTGTTATTGTGGTCAATGTTGAATGATATGTCGTACGTAGTAGAATGTTACCTGTGTATATAGTTAAGGCTGACATCTCTTCTGATGTATTTGTTTAGCAATTGACTGCTTTAGTTCAAGAGACAGGATTTTGGGTTTAATAACTATGTACTTTGTATGATATCTTATGTGGAGAGCGCTGTGGCCAGGTTCGGGAGCTTGTGGGACAATTTCCTCCTTTGACACCCTTGGCTCTAGTATCGAAGCAGTTTCTTGCAGACCGAAGCCTAGACCATGCCTACAAAGGTGGTCTAAGTTCTTACTGCCAGGTTAGCTGCCACGCGAAACCGGAATTAGAGCTCCCTGAGGCTATGCGGTTTGTTTTGTGATAGAAGCCTTGCTTAGTCTCAAATCAGGAGTGACTAGAACTCCAAAATGCATGTGTGCTTGGGAACACAGGCTAAATTGTTGTATATACACAACAACTTGGCACACAAGGCTGAAGAGAAAACAACCGTAGTCCTCCCTCACACTCACCTTGCATAGTGGTAACCGTGGTTTGATCTTTTTCAGTGCCTTTCAAGGGGTTTCTTACATGAATTTTAATATTCGTTGGTGTCTTTGCTGTTAGGATACGATTTTATGTGATAGCTTTGAGCTCTTCTAGTCATGCCAGCATATGGTATTTGCACCCTGAATAAGCAATAAACACCAGTCTTACTACTAACTATTATGGGGATCTCAAAATTGGCGCTGCTTGTTCCACACTATACGCTTGAGCAAAAATCTCATAATGATTAAAGGTGAGGCAGTCCAGAGGGAGAAGACTCGTTATGAATATGGAACCTAGGAAGGTTGTCTAATTATAGTATCTGGTAAGATCGTGTATGTGATGGTCATGTTTCTTTTGTTTTATTTATATGAATATTTCATTCACTCACATTTGGATTCTGCAAAACGTTTTCAGGTGCTATTGATCACGCGATTCCTTCAGCATCAGCAACATCTTGGACGGCCTTCTTCAAGCCAGGTTGTCTTCTTTTCATTTGACGACAGGTTCTGTTATATGCTTGCAGCTATTATGTGTAAGATGTTTTTTTTTCCTAGTCAGTTCAGCACTCTCTCCGAAGAATTTTTCATTTTGATTACTGTATGATATCAAGATAAGGTTACTTTGTTAGTAACAGTTTGTTAACTGACTGTTGCTTGATGGCATTTTTAACAGAATCTTGGAAGCTTATTTATGGACTTTCTGCATTTTTTGGGTATGTTTTTTGTCATATATAGGCGGATAGTGTTCTACTTTTATGACAGGAATTCAAAATCTTGTGGTGTAGAAAATACAACCAGGTGGAAGTACGAAACATTGGTTATTCTTGTGTGGATTGCAGCAATGGACAGCCTAGAATGCATTTTAACATACGATGTTTGCTTGCAATTTCTTGTTTGAAGTTATGTGTTTGATCCTCGAAGCATGTGCGTCCGTATTCGGGGTGGAGGAAAGTATGTAAGCAGAGATCGTGGCCCTAGGTATGTGTTTTATTCTCGTGTAATCGTATGTATTCACTTCATGTATCAAGTGGTTGTTAATAAATATCCTTGCATCTGAGCCAGGTTGTAAGCAATTGTAATGTGTATTATTTGTCTATTGTCAGAATATAATACTTGTATGACGGGAGCGCAGTCAGCGGTGGCAAGAGGTTTTGTCTATTTATTCTTGATGTTAGTCACTGTGTTGCAGTATTGATCCTTTGTACATTGAAGATCCATTTGATTATGAGAACAACGTTGGCAGCACCTGTTTCCGCATTCAACAAATTGTGAAGGTACAGCGAAATATTTGCTCTGATAATTCACATGTTTCGGACTCAATTTTATGCTGTGTGAGGGCAGTTTCCAATGTCTTGGAATACTATCTGGCAATAATTTTGTTCAGTAACCTACTTTTTAGTTCATCGTAAAACCTTGAGGTTATACGACGTACTTGCTTAAAGTGATGTTTACCTCCACATGCAGCATCAATTTCTATAATTGGTAATTGCCAATGTAAGAAATTGCACAGTAATTGACTGTTTTATGTAATGTGGTAAAAGGCCTCGCCGTTGTTATGATTGACTTGCAGATGCGCTCTTTTATCTTTATTCTTGAATTGAAATTCCACAATTGGGAGCTGGTAATTCTCAGGAGTCCAGATTAAATTTTTTCGTTGCATTCTGTTTGGATCAGGCTTTCGCAGACGCCGACTCCATTTTGGAGAAAGAACTATTTGAGGCGTCCGCTACAGATGGGAGCGAAGGGGAAGACAGGTTTTATTTACTACGAAAAATCATGCCCAGTTTCGTGGGCAAGTGATAAAATGCCTGAGCAAAGCCTGTTCATACTATTTTGTTCTGCTGCAGAAAATCAACCAGCAGGTAAATAATGTATTCACTTTCTATTTCCAATTATGTTGGTATTTACCTTGTTATACTTTACTAGATTATGTGAAATATGATTCCTGATCCCAGTGGTAGCGTAATTAATTTTGCATCTGTACGAATAACCTGCAACTTGTCAAGGTCTATCAACCTTCCTACCCAATAAAGTTATGTCGTGAACACCAGTCGGGTGTACTGATTGAGTATGCTTCTTGACACTTGTCATTCATATTTTTCAACAGGTGCCATCGCTACACATCAGCATGCCACACACAGAACATCTGGTTCTAAGAACATGTGCCAGGTCCATCATAGATGTCTCAAATCCTATGCTGGTATGAAACTAAAGCTCCATGATTTCTGCACTTGCAGACTGAAACACACCCGTCGATTGTCCTGATGCCGTATGGCTTACAAGCCTTCACCTTGTTTATTATCGACATTAGTTTATATTTGTATGTGCTCTATGGATCGTTGTAATCATGTATGGCTCATAGACTACAGCTGCCCATGCTTGTGTTTCAGCCGTTGTCACTCTAGAGTACTAAGATTTTTGTTGTGTTTTAGTCCATATTGCATGTAGCTTAGCCTTATACCCCTTCCTGCACTATTCTGTGGATTTCATATCCTTAAGAAGAAGAGGTTGCCATTGAGTAGTCATTTTCATACAAGCGAATCACCTCATATTCTGTGTGTTGGAGTATGGGATGAATTTCTGCTTTTGTACTGTGCAATTGTTTAAGACTGATTGTATTTTGGCTTTGCAGGTTTAAATGTTTGCTAGTACACATCATTGAGGCGAGATGTTAGCAGAATTACTCTTCTATTCGTATGCATGACCGTTCGCTAAATGCCAGATGACCAGCTACAGGCATGATTGCATTCTTCGCTCCCTTCCATTGACCTAACTCTCAGCAATTAGAATGCGTGGGCTTATGTTCCTTATCTGTGTCTGCTACCTATAACGAGATTGGTATTGTATGCATTTTTGGTGTCTGAAATCAGCATTTGTCTTGGCTGGAGGATATTTTGCTGTGTTTTTTTTGAATAGTTATTGAAGTTTACATCTTCATTTTTATCTTTATATTATTTTTTTGTCTGCAGTCTTGGAAATAGTCAGCAAGCTGAAGGATAAGGCGTTCACCTGTTATACGTCATTGAATGAATTTTTCGCGCAGTAGCTGTTAACACATCAACCTTTGTTTGGTTACTTAGGGTGTTTTACATGAGTAATAGCTCACTCAATAGACTTTCAGAGATTCTGAATTAACGGTTAATACTAAGCTCAGAAACTTCAGCTAAGTTTATGTTATTCGGAAATGTAGGAGCATGGTATCTAGAAAATATCTGAGCTCAAACATGTGGGATGCGTATGACATTTCCCTCAGCACCACTTACTAACTATTAAATATCTGAGAAAATAGCTTGCAGGTTACAGTTACTACTCTTGTGGAACTCCGATTGACTCATCAATCAAGGAAATAGATGTGCTATTCATAGCGATTCTTAGATTTTGTAGCTCGTATGACTAGCTATGCTTGATACAGAACAATAAGGACATTAATCTGTAAATTATTCACCATTCAAAAGTCAGGAATGACTAATTAAAATCTTTTGTCGTGTAAGTTGTACATTTTATTTTCCACCTAACAAGTTAATATCATGTTTCTTGTTCTTATTTTACATGAGATGCAACAAGGATGCAGAATTCTCGTAAAGTTGTAACCTCAAATTCTCTACCACGGGTACCCAGCACACTTAACTGGAAAAAGCTGACTCAAATCTGAAGCTGGACCTTAAGCGCAAGGCAGCCACTCAAGAGGCAACTAATATGAGGGGAACTGAAAAATGGACAAGAAATAGTGGTAAACTTTTAAGATCAATCCTTTTGAGGAAGTCTAACTGATGAAAACCTGGTCTACCGCTTCAGTCCTTGTTGCTGCACAAGGTTCAAATGGTGACCCACAGAGCTCATGCAACGTGAAATTCATTTCAGTTAGAGTATTTCGCTGGTTCGACTCTTGAGAGGTCAAGAGAAAGGGATTCTTCGAGAAGACATGAGCTAGCAGTTAGAAATCGTGCACTGACTTGCCTCAGTTTTTTAGGTTTCTCTCCACTTTTAGGGAGCTCATTTAGACGCAGGAGGATTCGCTTGTTCTAAATGTTAATTGATTTGCTTTGGTTGGTGCGTTGGTGGTGCCTTCCTTTTCCACTGTTGCATATATCCTCGTTTTCACTGTCCTGACTTGTATCCTGCACGCTACTGTGGCATCCATCACTCTAAACTCTTCAATCAGTGGCTTGATTCAGATGGGAATTCATCGAGGCCACAGTTCTGATGTAGATCAGTGAAGTCTACATTCAGACGATCCTCTTGACATGCATTTTGAACCTGCCAACCCTACTTTCCGACCCAATTTGTTATGACAAACCAGTGTATTAGCAGGGACACGAGGGGGACATGTCTACAGGTCCAACAAACGTAGTTGCGTTTGTTGCAACACAAACTGGTCGATGTTGTGAGTCTAATCCACAAGCAGCAAGTCCATCACTTGTCTGTGAGTTGAAGAAGACAACTGGAAATGAGATAGAGCAGAGATTGAGAGAGACGAGTGGGTTGTCATCTGCACCAAAGGCACAAGATGCAACGTATCTTGGTGACAAGATGCTAACAAGCTCAGTTACATTTGACTGTGCATGATATTCTCCATAGAAACAGTCTGTGGAGAAAATATTTAACTTCAGTTGATTTGGAAGAATATCATGCCTCACTAAATGTTGATTTGGAAGAAAATTGCATTAATCCATGAAAACCCACCTAACATTAGCAATTTTCTTTCAGAGTAGAAAGAAATCCATTTACCCATGTAATACATCCAAAAAGATTGTAAGAGCTGTAGTTTTTGTAGTAAATTCATTTGTTATTTGTATTATTTATTTGAAATTTGTTGCACAAAATAACTTGAGTAACTTATAAACAAATAAAATATATTTGAATACATGGTGTGATGTAGTTTTACATAATTGATTTTTTAATATCATGTATTGAATGTGTATTGCTTGATGTAACCATATTTAGCTGCTATGTAATTTTGTAAGAACAAATCTAACTTCAACAATTGCAAGTTTGTACAAAGGCAATCTCTTGTTAAATATCCAATAAAGTGTACTATTATAAAAGCAGTAGAAGATACATCTAAAAATCCTACATGATGTTCTTCTTTTGCTGTGTATTATTGCGATGTTAATTTATTTAGCTGCAATGTAACTACTTAATTTAAAATTACGATTACAAAAAGAAATTGTGTGTATTACAAAATGTACACTTTTTAAATGCACGTATTCCAAGGTTTCTTACAAGTGATGAAACATATGTTGACATAATCATAGAAAATGGACATACACACAACATGTTTTGTTGGATTAATTATATATAGAGAAGAGATATTTACAGTAAAAAAACATGAGAATAGCTTTAATTTTTTGTCTAAAAAAGAAACAGAAGTAATAAACTTCTATAAAAAATCAATGCTAAAAAGATTTTGTAAAAAAACCTATTTATTAAATAAGATTAAAACAAATAATAAAATTAATTCAATTCTTTGAAAAAAAACAAACAAACAAAATCCATTAATGTTTATGCACATAATGTGAAACACCAAAATAAAAATGATAAAAAAAGTCTCAAGAACTAATTTGTAACTTAATTTTTAAGAATCGTACAAAAGGTTTTTTTTTTTTTTTTTTTTTTTTTTTTCCTGAGGATTAATAGAGACGTATATCAATCTTATTGCGAAAAAACATATATAAATAAATCACGCAACTTCTTTCCCTTCTGTAAAGAAACATATTCTCTGATAAATGAACACGTAAAGACTTAAATATAACTGGACGATTCTTTGAAATCCACTCTCCATGTCATCCTTCCCATTACAATTAAATTGCCCTCACTCAAGAAGTGCAAAGTTCTGGAGAGTGGCTTGTATTCATTCCAGAAGTTGCCCTTCCACGAGAATGGCTTGTTTCAAATCACAAGCCTTGTTCAACGTGATATATTTGGAAGCAATTCTGACAAGAGCCTCCCACCGCAGAAGTTTCTGTACTTAAGACAAACTCTCTGCTGATTTAGGCTCTAACAAGGAAACTGTTGCCACTAAGTCAACAGCAAAATCTAGGCATTCCTGGAGTAAAGCAAATACTGGGCCTTATTATCCGAGGCCAATATCCATACTGTGAACAGCATTATTCACTTCTCTCGAGTTCACTTGCATGGTTTCCTAACCAGGCTAAAGTGGGCTCTTCGATAGCATTTGGACAACCGCAGCGAACTCAGCCACCACCATTCTTTCCTGACTAAGATTGGAAGAAATACATGTAATCAACAACTCCTAGGTTTTCTGTAGTGTTACAAATGCAAAGCCATACTATACAGAGGATACTTAATTTATTGTCGCAAAGACTTTCTGCTGGTTATTTGCACGACCTCCTCTGCACTCCTGTTGATCGTGTTCAGCCCCAGCTGAAGCGCCAAAATGGAGTAGGCAGGAAGAGCCACCTCCATGCTTGGTCCTGCATTCGTGGCCTTGGTCACTTGGGGGGTCACCTGCTCGACAACCACAACATCCCAGGTGTAAGAAAAGGATTGAAGGAAAAAGAATAGAGTTAGTGAAAGCCTGCAATTACATCATGAACACAAGCAACTGAAAAAAGAAAGATCAATGAATTAAAAAATCTGACTAGCTGAGGATCATAACATTGATATGATATTAAGTAAAGTTTGCAGCGTAACGTTGATGACTATGGGATAAGTGGACCTTCGCTGGATTTGTGAAGGAATTTTCGTCCATCAATCCTGCAGATGTCAGGAGCATGATGTAGGACTCGGTAGCGTTGAAGCGGTTGGCTGATACGCCTGAGACTTCGAGGTTCAGATTCAGAGGGTTGCTGCCATAGTTCACTGCCTGCATTTACCGACATTCATCATTTCCAACTTAACACTACTCTCAAGCTAAGCTCCACCAAACAGAAAGAAAATTGACATTCATGCAAAATGAGGTGATGTGGGCTTCACAGCGCACCTTCACAATCAGGTAATCCGAGCCACTAGAGGTGTTGTGTGCGCGAACAGCAGAAGTAACTAGCATTGCAAGACTCGTGGACGAATCAGCTTTCACAGTGGACGGCAGAAGGTCGGCACCGTTGGAGTTTTTAAAGAAATGCTGAACCCAGTAGCTGGGTGTCCCGTATTGTTGCCAAGAGTTGAAAACAATTGCATCTGGGTTCCATCTGTTGCGAACACACACATAAATGTCCCTTCCACTCAGTATGCGTAGAAATTTACTGTTCTTTATTTTAGGGAGGAAAAAGTGGACTATTCTGTGTGATGTTAGTATGATGGTATTTCCACTCAAGATGTTTGTGCTGCTGAAACGGAGTTAAGTTTTTTAGTCTGCCAATAAGCAAAATGAGGAGGTGCTCCGTGAGGAACGTACCTTCTATCGTTGGCATTGACAAAGAGAGGTGCGTAGCTTGCCATTTCCACTATATCACTGTTCTCCAAACCCCCAAGATGTCAAAAGATGACTTTTTGCTAAACGAGTTTCTATCTAATGAACTTGACTACTTCAAACACAACTTTGTACAGCCGAGTAATCGTGCTACAAACACTTCAGCGTGCAAAAACTGATTTAAATGAGAGGCAGATCATAGCCATCTGTGATGGCTCAAGAGCATCTAATTAAAAGACCTAATGATTAGCTGATTAACTTTCCCTAGATAGACCAATCTCAGGTTTTCAAAAGCAGAAGGGTTCAACCTATTGAGTTCCAGACCAATAAGAAATGCGCCTTCAGCCAATGATGCCAACAAACTGCCTGTCCCTGAGTCGGCTCCCACTACCGCATACTCACTAACAAAGGCCTGAAAGGAGACATTGGTTAATGATATAGCACGATTTTATGCAAATTAAACCGAACAATATCCATAAAACTCACCCTCCAATGTGAGATTAATACGAAAAGATAGTATTACCTTAGGGCCAACCCTGGAGGTGCGATCAAAGCTGTGTCGCATTGAAAAAAGGTTGTTTGCGGTCGTGTAGATCTACAAACAAAACGTTGTGAAAGAAAAGAAATTGAGTAGGTTTCAGTAGTGGTTGCTAAGAACCAGCACGAGAAGAAGAATCACAGACAAACTATGGAGCAAACTGCAAGAATCCTCCAATTATCAAGCGACAAGCGAATCAAACTTGCCAAAAAGAAACCAATCAAAAGGTCTTACATGATAATCATACAAGTCCGCAGGATGATCGAGAGGCCCACGCGATCCATCACAATTAGAAATTAGCTCAATATCTGGATACATAAGTTTGATAGCCTTGTAGAATTCCATATAGTTTCCTGTTCAGGCATATTAATAACATGTTTTGGGGTCAGTTAGAAGCGGAGGCTTTGGTGAATGTTGATGGATAATCAATTGTAAGTTTCCTTACCTCTGTAGTACGGTTTCTCGCAGTCTTCGTTACCAACCGCTACATAGAGAAGAGGAAAAGGATCAGGATGTCCCATTTGTGCTCGCACTGCACCCCAAGTTGAGTTAACAGGCCCTCTTGCAAATTCAATACCTTCTAACACATCCTGCTCGCAAAAAAAAAAAATTAAATTAAAAACCTTCAATGGGTACTTCAATGCCACAATTCAAATCAATACTAGTGAGCATCTCAATATCCTTCTCTGTACTGAAAGAAGAGAAAAATGCCCATAATACACAGAAATAACAGTGCCTCACAGCTCTATGCAGCTTACAAATTGTGTCTACCTGAACCCAGGGTCCGATCTCAGCCGTTGGCACTGATTCCCAATGACTGATGCCTGCAAAGAACTCGCCAAGTTATTTTCATAAAATTGAAGTAGCTTATCTAAACAAATAGACGTCCCGCCGCTCATTGACTGAAAAGCGAGACCTATTATGAAACTATAAATAGTGGTAAATTTCCTCATACCGTTGTTGAAGACCCAAATTGGTGCGGCGCCTATATCCTCTGCCAACTGCAATGCCGCCCAATCTCTTAAAGTACTTCACAGACGAAGAAAAGAGTTTCCCAGACGAGTTGGAGTATGCAATTAATGGCGGCAGAATCAATCAAAGTAATTGGCCTACTCCAACTGTCAACAGTTGAGCTTCATCACTCAACTTCTACAGATTGTACCATCACAATTAGGAGAGAAGAGTGGATAAATTTACAGACCTGAAGGCCCTCGAAATAGCCAAAGCCGTCATCAGACCAGTAGTTCCACACGTCACCATAGTGCCCGGGACGATTCTCATAATCACCAACCGAATCCCGCCACCGGAATGCATTGGCCAACCGAACACCCTCCACATAGCAGCCACCTGCACACATTGAGAGATAATGCATTGGAAGGTTCAATAGCATGGGCAAGCTCCAATCCATAGATAGACACCAAGTTTTGGGTGACGTACCAGGAAAACGAAGGAATCCAGGTTTCAAATCAGCGATCATTGTTGCAAGTTCCTTCCGAAAGCCGTGTCCCTGCACACTCGATCAAGATTCGTATCAAAGAATCTGTAAAGGGGTGAAATGAATGTTATTGAAAGGTACAGAAGAGAGAATTTAATGAGTTGAGTTTGCATTGAGATTATTTCCTCACCTTAAAAGTATCTGTCGGCATGGCCGAAACTTGGTCTATCCAGTACTCGCCTTTCGTGCCAGTCGTTAAAGACAACCGAGCATAGTGATCTGTTGATTTGGCTGTCAACACAATCGACTGTTTACTCCAATCTCGGTTCGATTTACCATCCACACTGCAACACATTGAAGATGTTCTTGGAGCTCTAGAAAGATATTTTTAATTTCAGGAAAATTTTGCTCACAAAACGAGAAAACAGCTTCTGGTTTAAAACCTTCACTCATTAAAGTATGTAAAGTACCTACAAATACCATTGCTGATACCGACCCAAAAGTGAGTGCCTAGAGGAACAGAAGTGACCACTCACCTGACAATTTCCAGTGTCAATACAGCTCCGTTTGCAGATATGAATGCTACAGAAAGGTTGAAAGTATTTGACGAACGCAACCAGAATTCAACTTGGTACTTGGAGCCAGCGATTATATTCTGCAAGTGCATAGAAACAACTGAGATGGGCCCTCAAAGGTTTGTGAGCATCTAATCCTTACTAACCTTTCCTTAGGATCAAAGCAGCGCGTGGTGATTAATTGGAAATTCTCACCATGCCCCAGAATCCAGGGTTAGCAGTGCCAACACCCCCCTTTGGACATTTGTTGTTGTTTTCGTCGCCGTTGTCACACAACACAGTAATCTTGAGTGCCACTGGATTTCGGTTGAAGGGAGACGAACGTTCCGTTCCAATGATAACTTGTGCGTCGGACCCAATTTTGTACCAGGGCTCGAAAATTGAAGGCGTGTCTTGACCCCCTGCCTCGAAACCTGAGCACGGGACAGCACCATACACTATTCAGATAATCCTCTAGGAAGCGAGTAGAAAGAAGCGTAGAAAATTCAATGTGAAGTTGTGTTTGTAGGTAGAGAAGAAGACGATTGTTTCTATAGAAAATCAACATTTAAGGAGAAAAGAAATGAAAGGGAGATCAGACCTCGGTTCTGAACAAGCTCTGCCCACAGGCCACCACTACCAGCATGATTAATCTCCTGGAAAGCAATGTGAATGCCCAGTTAAATTTAATAATCCCAAACACATCATACAAGCGTAACATGTGAACCCCAAAAACCAAAACAAATTTTGGGTCCTACCTGATTCAATTCAAACGCAGGCCAAGTATCGAAGGCAGAATACTAAGATTAGGTTGTGGCGATTCCTTTCATACCTCGAAAAAAAGTCCAAAAAGGGTCGCGGGCATCTGTCTTCCAGGGTCGCTTACATTTACCTCCAGCGTCACAGTCGGCGTGATTTGATTAAGTGAAGGTGCCGAGAAACGAGAACTGAGCGCCACAGCCAAGAGGCATAGCAAGCTGGTCGCCAATAATTTCACAAGTGAGATTATGGGCATCAGTGGACGCTCAAACAAGTCAAAGGAATCCCGACATCTAAGGTTAAGAGTGGGTAACCTACCCAAATGTGCCAGCGGCAGTTAGAAGCACGCAGCGATGGCGTGCTACCAAGGTCCGCATGTTTGTAAACATGACTCAACGAGATGCTCCTCGCAACAGATACAAGTTGGTTACACTGAGGGTGGCTGTATTGCACAACCTTCAGAGTATCCTCATGCTCCGCGACTATTCCTGCACACCTGATCGGAAGTTGAAGATTGGAATTTAGCGAGAAGTAGGGGTCACCGACAGTGTCGCAATTTAGTCTTTTGAATGCAGTCTCTTGCGCTATTAATTTGAAGCTTGTACTCAGTCATTATCAAAATTTTATCTATATCAGAAATTTGTCTTCGATCATGTGGTAGGCTACTGATCCGGAGCAGAGTTGAGCTTACAAGAAATGAGACGAGAGAGATCAGAGACTGCGTGTACAGAAAGAGATTGTACCAATCTCACATCAGATGCTCACGTTTCCATTTCAAGAGCAACAAGACGGAAGCTGCTTCGTCCAAGATTTTATTTGTGGAGCATTTTGTGTTCCTGGCAACACCATGTTTCACAAAACATAAAATTGAGAACTTCTCAAGTAGACTTGATGCGGATCCGAGCTTCTTCTACGACGAGTAAGGCAAGTGATCGACTATTCTACAATTTCAGGACAGCATAATTGAATGCGGTAATACGTGCTCAGAATGCACCCCAATTGAACCGAATGACACAGCTCCAACACACGTCAGCCACAAGGAAAAACTCTTCTTTACACCACTCAACGACGTGGACGCTCTGCGACACAAATTAACACGATGAGACTAACCCAAAGCTTACTTGCAAGCATTTCACAGAACGACACCGAGAATCTCAGGATTTGTGACCTCTCAACGGCCTCAATCTCACTGAGTGAGCTCCGCATTCTTCTGCCACCAACAAAGAAAAGAAATCCTCAACCTACAGTCAACGCCGACCCGAGATCCTGGCACACCTCCCTCTCTCTTTCTCACTCGCTCTCTCTCACACCACGCTGGCACAAGCCAAGAATGCAACCCCCGAATCCGATCGAACAATTCCACCCACATCTTCAACAAACCCGGAGGACAATCCAAAAACACTTTCACCCACAACACTCCGAAACCGACCTCCCAACTGCGAGACCATCCAACCACACATTGCATCGCCAATTGTCACAATCCCACACTCAATCTCTTGAACGCAACCGCTTACCAGCTCCGGAATCTCCACACTCCACCCACTAAGGAACAAATTCACTCGCTCGCGCTCCAAAAAAAATTGATACGCAGCGTTGGCTTGGAACAAATCATGAGGAGGGGAGGGGGCATGAATACGGTGAAGGACTGGCTTCCATGACGATCGAAAGAGGGGGAAATGATCGCGATGAGGACGGCGACGAGGAGGGATGCAAGATTCTGGAAAAGAGGGCAGGTGAGTCAGCCAGGGCGTGGATTGGGCACTATCCTCATCGTAGTGGCATCTAGGACTGACTGCATGCGCCGTGGACTGCGTGCGTGCGTGCGAATCGACGATAAACCCAATTGCCCATCCATCGACTCCTCCCACCATCGTTACTTCTGTGTCGCGACGCTCACCTCGTCGCAACGAGAGTCCAGTTGTCTCGGTCGGAAAAAGGCTCGTCGCACCGAGCAAGACAGAGCCCAAGACCAATACACACACAACACGAGTCGAATGTGCAGGAGCTTGTTGAAATGCATGAGAGTTGGGATTTGAGTTTGTTTCGATTTACGATGCGGTGCAACTCATTTTTGGTGTGTGGGTTGACGAAATACTGAGAGAAGAGGAAAAGATAGTTTATTCATAAATTTATGAAAAAGAGAAACACGATTGTATCAATATGGATTTGATGATGATTGCGGCACCAAAAAGTAATTGTATTTGCACACATTGATTGTGTTGGTATTTGATGTGAGTTGAATATGGTTTTTTTTAGAGATTTTGAGCTTTTCTTTGGGTGGATCTAGTGTTTTTTGTGTTGGGATCTTTTGATGTGGTTGAATGAAATGGATCTCATTGTAGGAATTAATTTTAGGGTTGTGTCATTTGTTGCGATGGGAAGGTATTTCACATTATCTAGTATGAAAAGATCATAAGTTGTTGGAGAATTAGATTTTTAGTTTGTGAATTTCACAATATTTAACGTGGTATGGATAACTTCAAGGAGATTCAATCAATTAAAGAATTGATGGATTTAGTTATTTTATTTTATTTTAAGTCTATCTAAACAGATTCCTCCTTGTGTTCATGTGACTAGTGTTTCCTACTTAAATTGTCATTATCACTGCAATTGTCAAACTTTGGTTTACGAAAACTATATTTTAGATTAAAACATCATTCAAATTGTGTCATGTGATTTGTGTCATGTTCAATTAAATGGAAATTATGCTCTCTGTCCAGATTGTGTCTAAATTAACTCAACGCATATACCATATTAAAATTCCACAAACATGACTCATTCTTGATCATCTCTAAGGTTGCCTCATGTTTCATCTTCACCAAACAAAACATATTTCTTTTCCTAGCAAATGTATAGGTTAGTTATAACAGCACAGATTCTATTGAATGAAGAACAATAAAGGAGAAAAACATTGTTTGGGCAATACCTGTACACATGCATCACGTGTGCAAGGTTGGTGACACATGCGAACCGCCGTAAACAAAATCATACCTCTTCGATGCTTCGGAGTGTTTCTCAGTCTCGTCATGTCATGAAAGTGCATACACCTAAACTACGCCCACAAAAGAGAATCACTCGCACGATGCACGCAACTGTGAAGAGTCGGTTGTTAAACATACCTAATTTCAACGATGTAGAAACTGGTATGGTATGCAACCTGCAACTCTGGGTTAAAACTGATTCTCACTGTTGATTCTTGGGTCGTTCATGAATCAGGATTGTAACAAGCTGGTCAGGTATAGCTACATTCTACCCGAAATATGTGCCTACCCTCTCAGTGCTCGTGATTCATGCTGTTGACTCCGCATTCCAAGACTGTGGGTTCCATGAAAACGATACAGCATGTGAATTATGGCAGTTTCTTCACCTATACAAAGTAAATAAGAAACTTTGTATCATATTTCTTAACTTTCTGGAATGTCCCATCTCACACCGATGACTACAATGAAGACGACAATTGTTCGCGACAGCGATGCATTAGCTGACTTCAACATGTGCAATGTGAGGACAAGGGGTAGGCATGCGTATCGAGCCTGAAGCGCGGTGAGATGTTTAATCAAACAAACAGTTTTCGAATCCCAGACCTAGTCGCTGGAAAAACAAACAGTCCACTGCCGTCACTTGGGTCTCATAAACTTTCGTGCACCTGCAGTCTAATCACTCGTCGGCTACAATCTAATTGGCCCATGAAAAAAATGCATTGCACCAACTATTCACTTTGTACAAGAGAAATGCCGGATCTGATTGCTTTATTAACCAAGCTCCTGTAACCAACGCTCACACGCAACAGTTGGGAAGACAGAGTCAACATCACAGCTCGAGGACCTATACCTTAGTGGATTTTCATAAAAACTGTTTCCGATGCTATCCCAGTTTCATCGATTTCAATGTATTTAATGATCTAAAATTAATGTTAAATCTAAAATCGGATGTTAAAAAAGTTGGGTATGCAATTTTCTAACCGAACCCACACAAAAATGGAGGTCAAGATCGTCTTAAGCAGCAACGGCCTTCTTTGCGGTAACAGCATTGCAAATCGTAGCGAACTCGAGGCCCTTTAATGCAGCTCCTCCAACTAGGAATCCATCAATATCTTCTTGAGTGGCAAGCTCGGCACTGTTTGCACCATTAACTGAACCACCATAAATGATTCGAGTCTTTGAGGACACCTCGGGGGAAATCTTCTCCTTCAACCACTGCCGGATGGCAGCATGCACTTCCTGGGCCTGCTGGGGGGAGGCCACCTTTCCGGTTCCAATAGCCCAAACAGGTTCATACGCAACCACGATGTTGGACCAGTCCGATACGGCGTCAGCGTATGCTTGCAACTGCTCAAAGACAACATCGGTGGTGCGATTGGCTTCACGGTCCTCAAGCTTCTCCCCAACGCATGCGATCACGCCGAGGTTCTTCGACAATGCGTACGCACTCTTCTGCCCAATCATGGCATCAGTCTCGCCGATCACGTGCCTACGTTCGGAATGGCCCTGGATCACCCATTTCACTCCGCCGTCTACCAACTGGTCGGCACTGATCTCTCCCGTAAAGGCCCCTCCCTTTCCAGTCCAGCAGTTCTGGGCGGCGACTTCAATTCGCTTGGTGAGCGATCCCAGCACCTGGCTGATGTAGAGATACGGGGGAGACACGACAATGTCCACATCCTCCTCGAGCTTAGCGCTGTTAAGCTCATCTACGAGTTTCTTGAGGGACTCCACAGTGCCATTGCACTTCCAGTTTCCTCCCACAAAGAACCTGCCAGTTCCAGCCATGGAAACAACCCCCCTGTGACCTCTTCCCTCACTCTGCAAACATCAGAAAATCACCCCAATAACTCCATCACTTACACCACCAAAACCGAGGAAAAAACTCCTCTGTAGTAAGATTACCACAAAAACAAAGAACCTGAATACGAAACCCAATCGAACACATGGTCATAACCTAAAACCTTCCATGCTCTCACCTGCAGCTGCTGCGACAAGGCATCGAACCCAGACTCGGTCCTGCTCCCAAACTCCACACATCGCAGCCCAGAAAACTGCGGGCAAGTAATAGATGAGGGTTTAGCAGATGAAACTGCGATGGGGGAAGGACGCGCAACCGAGTGAGCGGCTCTGCTATAAACGACAGCCATCGCTTGTGGGTTTTTCGCGAAAAATAGCGATCAAGAGAAGTGAGAAGAAATCGTTGCTGGTACGGCTGCTGCGGATGCGATGTCACACTGTGAAGCCCATGAACAACAAAGGGTGAGGATATAACAGAGTGGGAATGGCAGGGGAAGCCTACAGCTAGCAACACTGGTCTTTGGAAGGCTGTGAGAGGTCGTCGTCTCCAACTCCAGCCTGACGGTCCTAAGTGGTATCTCCCTTATTACCGCGGAAGCGGAACAAACCCACGGTCTCCGAAATAGCACATGATTTCGGGACAAGATTAGTTCGAAGGAGGATTGCTGGCTGCGGGTTTGCTATTTTCCATCACTGATTGCTAATTCATGCAGAAAGATGCCAGCACGACGGAATCAGAAACAGGCATTTGATGCAACGGCCTTAACCGCATTAGAAAATAAGCAGTGCTGCATTACTGTGTCCGTTCTCTTCCAGCCGTCAATCAAGGACCCAGTCGATGAACGAGTCAAATCATTTCAACAGCAATTAGCTCCACGATTTGTCGTCAAGTAGCACATTGCGTGTGTTTTTTTGTTTTTCAATCCTTCCCGTAAGAATGAAGTTTCATGAATATGACGTAGGAGAAGGATCTCTACACCGGGACAATAGCGAGAGACGAGCGCGACGCACGACTCGAATTAGTGAAACCTGAACCCGGAAAGATTCGTGCCTCGTGAAACGCATTCGGGGCTAGGGATCCGTGTCAGACGATCCCTAAAAACGCACAGGATCCAAGTTTGGGAAACAGAGTTTTGATATCAACCCACGCAGATAATAAGTGTCCATGGAAACTATTTGTTTAGTAGGGTAGCAAATAATTTAGCAATAAACAGGAAGGGGCGTCACGTGGGCGAGAGATGCCCCTTGCAGGACCTGAGTGGATAGCTCCCATCTCCCAAGATTCGGATGAGGCGGGGTCCATCACTCACTCCCTGTTTCTTCCCCAATCTGTCTCTCTCCTTCTGCACCACCACCACATTGCATGTCAGCAAACCAACAACGTCTAGGTAGAAAAATCCGGCCTCCACTTGCCTATCACCCAGCGCAAAACTCCACGAAATGGAAACCACGGAATCCTACTCAATTCTTCCTCGATTCCTCTCTCTGCTCCAGCTCTGATCAGCTTCAAGCATTCTGAAGGTGAATCTGCTCAATACTAATGCTGATGCTGATGATGATGCTCGTGTGCATTGGATTCAGGGAGCAAATTGCCAATGCGGGAACCAATTCGCAACGCGGCGTCGCGGTTCTCGTCGCAGCGAGTACGAGCTTCCACAAGACGGAGCGGCACATTTTGCATTGCGCGGTGTGAATGCGTTTCCATCGCCAAACTTTTTCCATCCGTATGAGTTACTTTCTCGTTTTACTTTTCATCGTGTCTGTTAACTTTTTGTTTCTTGTTCACACGTACGAGACCTTCAAAAGTTTTGATATATATATATATATATATTCATAATAGCAAGGTACTCAGAACGAAAGGAAACTAATAGGAAAGTTGGCCCACATATTTTATTGTATTTTTATGGAGAGTTGTAGCACAGTGTAGAAGATAAGTGAGCTTTATAAATGTGGAGTTAGAAATAATTTTAATATTACTTGATTCGAACCTCATAGTTTTCTTTTATAAACATGTTTATTTGCCAATTTGAATGAGTGGAGGAGGACACTATTTTTTCCAAGAAAAATAAATAAATAAATAAAAATACAAACTCGATAATCACATACATCTTCATGTATAATCACATGTATTAAAAATCAATAAATAAAATAAATAAATGAATACACATTTGTTGTTGTCAAAATAATAATAAATAAATAAATAATCCTTTCAAAAATATATATATTGGTTTAAGAGAAATAAATTTTAATTGTATGCTTTTTTTATAATGAATAGAAAACCATCTTTAATAATTGCTACAAAAAGCTTCTTTTTTTCATAAAAATAAAAATAAATGAAATAAAGCAAGACAGAGTTTGGCATACCTCATAACTAAAAACTACACACGCTAGAAAATTAATAACAAATCATTTATTGTTTCAAAACCAATCATGTTTTTTATAGATTTAAGAGCAGGGAATTGTTTAGTGAAATATACTTGAGGTTGATATGTCACCAAATTATGCATTGGAAAAGATGGTGGTAAAAAGACTGCCAGCTGCAAAGCACATAGTGGCTATTTTATCAGTAAAACATCCAAAAAAGTGCTTTCCAATTTAAAAAATGGTAAAATCTGTGCTTATAATAAGAATGGAAAACTTGAGTAGATTTTATTTTTATTTGTCACTTTAAAAATACCATAAAATATGTTTTTCTTTCAATAGAAATAAAAGTTCTTCTGAGGGAAAGTAATCAACTAATCGAAATAAGTTATAATTATTATTTTAAGTAACAGATTTTAAAATTATTTCAATTGTATCGGTATTTTGTTATCTCAAAATAATCCTTATAATAAAAATTTCAGAAAATTTTATTTCGAAACATTTTATCAAAACAATAAAATAATAAAAAAAACAAGCAATTTGAAGTACATACACAACCAAGAATTATCGATTTAATATTTTTATTCATGCAAGTACACGTGTCAATTTTTTTAAAAAAAATTGTAAAATTACATGAATACTAAATACATTGACTGATCTGAAGAGATTTACCAAATCTCATGATTTGATTTTGAAATGTATAGATAGTATTATTGATGAGGTACATCTATATATATATATATAAACACTCATATTTTGTGATAAATACTTGTGATAGTCATATCTATAAGTATAATAAAATACTAGTATAAGAAAGTAATGTAGATCTAAAGGATGGAGCAAGAGTCCACGGTTTTTAATGCGCAATTCTAAAAAGGAATTGTATCTAAAACAACTACACATTTATTATTGTTGTATTAAGAACAAAAAACACTCAAAGGAAAAGAAAAATATAAAATATATTACATACACACATATGTGTGTGTATATATATATATGTATATGTAATCTAAAATCTTAACATAACAAGATGCCAAATTGTTACATATATCCTTAAGTATGACAAAATATTTGAATATAAGTATTAAAGTAAATAAAAATTATAAAGTATATTTATAGTAATTTTTTATTTGTACTACTAGGCATAAATAATCAATGATTCTCATTAAACCAAATTTACATCAAATTAATATACCTTATTGAATATGTTGAATAACTACACAATATATTACAACTACTTTTTTGACATGTTAATTAAAAAAATGCTTTCATTCAATAAATTATGTTTTGAAGTCAAAAACATTATTTTGGTGATGAAGGTAAATTTAAGAAAAATAATGAACATGACACCAATTTTAACAATTATCATACTCATTCAATTGCAAAGAAATTTCAATATAATAACAAAAGTTTCATATATACATATGAATTGATATAATTTTAAAATATATTTTTGAAAATTTTAATTAATTTTTTTATTGTAATAAGTTAAATAAGTTTTGTGAAAAAACAAATAAAATACAAATGCAGAAGAATGGGTCATATATGAAAGGTCATTTAATACCGTTGACAATGTTTAGAAAGACACAAGAATAGTAATAAGTAATACACACACACACACAAGAGAGTTTCTAATGAGAGAGAGAGCTTCACACAAAAGTCTATTGATCTAGTTGTGTCTTGTATACAAGAGGAGAAGGAGAGAAGTTAAATAGTTCCTCTCTACTACATTCCAAATACTATAGCTATAGTATTAATATAGTCTATATTAATTATCATGGAGAGCGCTCGCTACATTTAATGTTCTTAACACTCCTCCTCATTCATCATAATATTTACATAATATAAAATTTGTATAAAATTATTATCTATATTTTTTTGTAATCTTGCAAGATCAACAATTGTTGCTTCATTAAAATCTTATCTAGGAAAACCTTATTGTATTTAAGAATAAAACCATAGATGAAGGAAAAAGAATACAACATCATTTTTCTAATTATTTAAAGAGTTTATTAACTTTCTTATTCAAGAAAAGCAAGTCGCCACATACGAATGCCATAAGTAAGTCAATAATGGTTGCACAATGGGAGAACTTTGGTGAAGCAAGGTTATTTGCAGATTAAATTTTGTTAATTATAAGTGCTTGATCAGTAATCAAGTCATAGATATAACTAAAATACTTTAGATCAATATGGTTTGTCCTATGGCCTTTAATGAAACCAACTTGCATCTGTGCAATACAAACACTATTGTCTTCATGCAAGATAGTTGGAGAATCATCATATGAAAATCCATAGGTTGTTTGAATGAATTTATCAATTGATCGCAATCAAATACATTCTCGAGATGCTTCATGTAAGGCAATAATTTCTGCATGGTTGGATGAAGTTGCAATTATTATTTGTTTCACTGATTTACATGATATTGCAGCTCTATGCCTTAAAAATACATATCTTGTTTGAAATTTAGCTATTGTTTTATCAGATTTATATCCCGCATCACAATATCCAACCAATTTTGGATGTACAGATTGTGTGTAGTATAATCCCAAGTCTTTAATATCTTTTAAATAACGTAATGAATGTTTAATGCCATTCCAATGTTGTAGTGTTGGATGTGCACTATGTCTTGCAAGAATACTAGCTGCAAATGCAATATTTAATCTTATACATATAGCCAAATATAAAAGTGTTCCAACCGCTGCAAGGTATGGATATTGATCTCCCAATATTTCCTTCTCTTCATCGTATGGACAATATGGATCATGACCATCATGACCACATCCAACCATTAGTGTGGACAATAAATAAGCATCAATCATATTGAATCTCTATAAGATTTGTCTAATATATATTAGTTGGTAGAGAAAAATGCTACCATTTGTGAGATGCATAATCTGAAGACCAATGCAAAAAGTTGTTTCTCTTAGCATTTTTATCTCAAATTCATGTATGAGTAAGTTAATAGCTACAACACATGCAGATTTAGTGCCTATTAGGTTAAGATCATCCACATATACACTGATAATTATAAAACCAGTTTTATCTCGTTTGATAAATAAACAAGGGATTAATAGATCACTTACAAACTTATGTGTAATTGAATAATCTTGAAGACATTGATACCACATGCATCCAGATTGTTTTAAACCATACAAGGTCTTATATAATTTAATACCATGATATTATCTTGGAGTAGGTCCATTTGGAGTTCCTCTTTCTAAGCCAAGTAGAACTTTTATATAAATATTTGCATTAAGAGAACTATATACGTATGCA